CAGTCGCTACACTGCTGGCTCCGCCCCCCCCCCCCCCCCCCCCCTGCCTGGATCTGAGGTCGTCGGACTTCAGCCGCAGCTCCCGTGGCAGTCTGAATGGGACGGTTCGCAGTGGCACCCAGACGTTAAAGAAGAGGGGTGGAGGAGGAGGAGGAGGAGGAGGAGGAGGAGGCCAGATGCAGCCTAATGGACCTCCATCAGGCATGGACACACTTGGGAGGAGAGAGCCCAGGGGACGGAGCTCCCTCGGACGTTTGGAGCGGCGTACATCCAAGGTAAAAAAAAAAAGAAATCTTCTTTAGACCTTAAGAGCAGGTGACTTCACTGCCCTCTGGTGGTTTATTGTCATTACTAGAAATGCACATTTGATCTGAATGTTTTAATCGTGGAGAAGTGAAGTGAAGTGTGCAGGGAGTGGGTGGACACTGACGCCACGGGAAAATACAGAAACAATTCTGCTGCTCAACTCTAGAGGGAGCCTCCAGATTACACAGCAAATATATACACGTGGCAGCTGACGCAAGAATAAGACAAATGTCCAACAGACCGCTCTCTTTCGTCCTGTGTTCCACATGGTTCCACATGGTTCTGTGTTCCACATGGTTCTGTGTTCAACATGGTTCTGTGTTCCACATGGGTCCACATGGTTCTGTGTTCCACATGGTTCCACATGGTTCTGTGTTCAACATGGTTCAACATGGTTCTGTGTTCCACATGGGTCCACATGGTTCTGTGTTCCACATGGTTCCATGTGGTTCTGTGTTCAACATGGTTCTGGGTTCAACATGGTTCTGTGTTCAACATGGTTCCACGTGGTTCTGTGTTCCACATGGTTCAACATGGTTCAACGTGGTTCTGTGTTCCACATGGTTCCACGTGGTTCTGTGTTCCACATGGTTCCACGTGGTTCTGTGTTCAACATGGTTCTGTGTTCCACATGGTTCAACATGGTTCAACGTGGTTCTGTGTTCCACATGGTTCCACGTGGTTCTGTGTTCAACATGGTTCTGTGTTCCACATGGGTCCACATGGTTCTGTGTTCCACATGGTTCCACGTGGTTCTGTGTTCCACATGGTTCAACATGGTTCTGTGGTCAACATGGTTCAACATGGTTCTGTGTTCCACATGGGTCCACATGGTTCTGTGTTCCACATGGTTCCATGTGGTTCTGTGTTCAACATGGTTCTGTGTTCCACATGGTTCAACATGGTTCTGTGTTCCACATGGGTCCACATGGTTCTGTGTTCCACATGGTTCCATGTGGTTCTGTGTTCAACATGGTTCTGTGTTCCACATGGGTCCACATGGTTCTGTGTTCCACATGGTTCCATGTGGTTCTGTGTTCAACATGGTTCTGGGTTCAACATGGTTCTGTGTTCAACATGGTTCTGTGTTCAACATTGTTCTGTGTTCCGCATGGTTCCACGTGGTTCTGTGTTCCACATGGTTCCACATGGTTCAACATGGTTCAACGTGGTTCTGTGTTCCACATGGTTCCACGTGGTTCTGTGTTCAACATGGTTCTGTGTTCCACATGGGTCCACATGGTTCTGTGTTCCACATGGTTCTGTGTTCAACATGGTTCAACATGGTTCTGTGTTCCATATGGTTCCACATGGTTCAACATGGTTCAACGTGGTTCTGTGTTCCACATGGTTCCACGTGGTTCTGTGTTCAACATGGTTCTGTGTTCCACATGGTTCCACGTGGTTCTGTGTTCCACATGGTTCTAGAACAGAGTTTCTTGTCTAACTCTGGCTCTGTGCTGATACAGTAATTAAATGAGTCATTAATTAAGAATAGTTTGGAACCAGCAACCCTTCAGGCCTGTAACTGGTGTTGTCCTGTCACTGGTCCAGGTGTCCAGGAAGGGCTCCCGTGACGTGGCGGACCACATGACCATCCAGATGGACGACTCTGACTCCATCACGGTGTCGGAGCAGAGTGAGCCGTCAGCAGAGTGTTGGCAGAACATGTACAAACTGCTCAACTTCTACTCCCTCATCTCTGACCCCACGGGCATCCTGGAGAAAAGCTCCCCAGAGAACTGTCTTTCAGGTGCACCTCACATTCACAACACTCAGCAATCAGCACAGCCTCTTAAACCATCAGAGTTCAGTGATACCTTCAAAGTTTGAGGTGTACTTTTCATCAACACTTGATAAGCTCCAGGAGCTGAACTCTATGACCTTTGACCTGTCAGAAGTTCTTCTACTCTGTATCCATGTCAGCTTGACTTTCTTTGTGAATTCCTCCAGAAGGCGGGCGGCCGGGGTCCGAGCCCTTCTGTAAAGTCATCTTCGAGTATGAGAAGGAGCAGCCGGAGCTCACCACGCCCAGCAAACCCCCGGCTGCAGGAGGAAGGAGGCGCAGTCTGGTGAGCTCGGAGCCACAGCACGTCACGCTGATCGTGTTTGGCATCGGAATGGTCAATCGGACCCACCTGGAGGCCGACATTGGTGGACTGACCATGGAGGCGGAGCTTAAGAAGATTCACGGGAGTTTTACTCTGAAGGAGAAGATGAAAGGTAACACAGAGCCGTGTGTTCTCCTGATGACAGGCTGAGCTTGAACTCTTCTTCTACTGTTCATGTGTCGGCAGATATCCTGCACCAGAAGATGACGGAGACGTGTGCGTCGGCTCATATTGGAGGAATAAACATCGTCCTGTTGGAAGGAGTCACTCCTGACATCCAGTATGTTCTTCTCTACCAGACTTCTGTTAGCTGTATGCTAATGCTAACTGGAGTATTTCATTTCACCTTTAGTTACAAATGTGAAAAGGTGATAAAGTTGGTTTCCACTTTTAATTGAACCATCTGTGTAGTATAACACTGTTACACTGATAATAATTATTAATAACAATAATAATGATAACAATAATGACAATAATAATACACATATTAATAATGATAATCATACTCATAAATATAATAATGATAATCATAAAAGTGAAGACTGACAACAGTGTTTTTTAGAAACTACGACAGAGTTTAGTCCCCCTCCTCACCACCCCCCCAGTCCCCCCCCCACAAACAGTGAGGTTGTTTGTGAGGCACTTTAATCAGATGTCATTTAATCTCGTGCTTCCGTCACTAATGTTAACTAGGTCACTGACCCTTGTGCTGCTGGTTAACGTTAGCTGGACATGTTTGACCTGGGTTAGTTGGTCAGATTAGTTAAAGTTAAGAGAACATCCAAGCTGCTGCTGCCTGGTTGTCATTATTAATGTTATTAATGTTATTATTGTTATTATTGTTGTGCTGTGGCTCCTCTCAGTTTGAACAAGGACATAGCTCCCCCTGCAGGGCTGTTACAGATGTTGCCTCCTCACTGAATCAGAACTGTTTCAAATCTCTCTCTGTTTTTTTTTTTCCTACTTTCCCAACGTTCTCTTCCAACTTGTGCCAAAGACTGGAGGATTTCCCAACTTCTCCCACCAGCACAGCTAAACAAGAGTTTCTGTATGTGATTGTCACCTACATCTGTCAGTGAAAAAACTAGTCCCATTTGTCCCATCAGTCACATGGTCACCACACGTCTGCTCACTGGTTACTGTTCAAGAGTCGTTTTGTCTGATGGTTTGGCCCTAAGCCATGAGCCTGTAGGTCAGCGACCCCTGACATGCCCCCCCCCATCATGTCCATGACATCACGTCCTTCATGTCAGCTGTTTTTTTGAGGCCCCCTCCCTGACCGTCCTTGCTGTTGTCTTTCAGGACCGTGGTCAAATGCAACATTGCCAAGTCTCAGGCCTTGTACAGCGCACAGCGAGGGTTGAAGTCCAACAACGCAGCCGTGTTCAAAGTGGGGGCGATCATGATCAACATCCCCCAGCACCCGGCCACGTTACACGGCATGATGGTCCGCAGCTCTCACCAGCTCTCCAAACAGATCTCTGACCTCATTCGCCAGCCTTCCAACACGTACGTAGTCCTGGTCCAAAGTCTGATCAATGGTTCGTGAGGGAGGGGGACCAGGGGACCCTTTACAGCTGACGTTCAGTTACTAAAACGTCCACTCCCTTTCCTGCAGCCGTCTGTCTGTGGCTGGTTTCCATGGTAACATGCTGTGAATATATTTATGGCCTAAAAGCTGTGTCTTTTTCAACCAGAAGACATTTTAATAGTAATGACCTTTGATGACCTGTCTCCCCTTCATGTGAAGCACGGCCACAGGTCAAGAGGTCAAATACGTGAGGCCTTGATTCCTGAAGAGAGTCCAGTGTCCAGTGTGAATGTGCAGTGAGGGAGACATGAATGATGAGCTGACTCTTTTCTCCTACACCCTACACACAGCCAGCCCCCCAACAGAGAGGACACCCCCACCCCACAGCCCTCTGACAAGGCCTCCAGCATCAATCAGACCCCAGTGGAGGCCAACGAGTTCCCCCAGCTTCCTGAAGGTCTGGAAAAGAAGCCCATCGTCCTGAAGTTCAGCGCCATGATGGACGGCATCACCATCGGAGCTGCCCTCCTGCCCTCACTGAAGGCCGAGTACAAAATGGGCCGAATGAAGAGTCACGGCATGACGGGTGAGGGACCATCATCATCATCATCATCATCATCATCATCATCATCATCATCATCATCATGTTTAAGGCTAATTAAGGCTAAAGTGAGAAGTCACAATTGACATTCACACTCTTTAGTGTGAATGTGGATGAGTTCACGCTGTATCAGATGAATTGATGTAGTCTGCTGAATACCTGTACAACACAGTCCACCTACACAGTCTGTCCACAGGGTGGCAGTACAGCGGTGCTTTTCTCCTATTGCTGTGTTCTGTGACTGAAGAAGAAGAATCCAACAGTTTGAATGTAGCTGCTGCAAAAGGGGGCCTTTAAATGTGTACTTGGCACCACCTGCAGGCCAGGAAAGAAGAGCCACACGGTTCATGTTGACAACCAGAGAAGAGCCTTTAAATATCATAATGGTGTGACCTGAAGAAGAGAACAAGGACGTGTTGTTATCACTCCAGATGTACACACGTCATGTTAGACTTGGCGAACAGACAGTGATGTCACTTCCTGTGTCTACACACACACACACACACAACAACACCACCTGCTCATAGGGAAACAGTAGAATACCCTACGCTACTGAAGGGTTAGCTGTTAGCTGTTAGCTGTTAGCTGTTAGCATGTCGACGCCCAGAGATCAGACTTCTGTTTCACTGCTGTTCTTTTTTACAGGAGCTCAAACCAGTTTCACCTTCGAGTTACCAAACCACAAGCTCTGCTTCCAATCTAAAGTGTCTCCAGTGGACGTGTCTGCCATGCCCCCGTCAGCCAGCCTGACCCTGCCCCCGGTCACCATGTCGGGGGAGTACATCATGGAGGAGCACGAGAGCCACTCCGATCAGGGCTGGGCTACGGACGACTTCCCGTCCAAGCAGGGGAATTACCTGCAGGGCAACTACCTGCGCTGTGTGGCAGAGGTTGGAACATTCTAGTAGATTTAGACTTGATGGTGGAGGATGATCTAGTGAGAAGACTTCTCTCTGATCTGCTCTCTTTGATGTGCAGATAGGCTCCTTTGAACACAACCTGACCACAGATCTGCTCAACCACCTGGTCTTCCTGCAGAAGGTCTTCATGAAGGAAGTCAACGAGGTCATTCAGAAGGTGTCAGGTATGGTCTCACACACACACACACACACACACACACACCATAGCATCGTAGGTTCGTAGGTAGACATCATAAGAAGCATGTGATCAGTTCAAATCCAACTGTTTTCCATGTTAGAGAGTTAGAGTTCAGCGTTAGACGGAGTAGATGTCATTGATGTTATTAATGTCTTTGATGTCATTGATGTCATTGATGTCTTTGATGTCATTGATGTCATTGATGTTACTGGTGTCAATGTGAACAATTGTCAACGTTGACTTCAGGACACAGTCCTGATGTGTTGTTGTAGTATGACACACCCAGGGTGTAATTCCATTAATGCCCTGTAGCAGTCACATTATTCTGTGCATTTTCTTTCTTACAGGTGGAGAACAACCCATCCCACTGTGGAACGAGCACGATACTTCGACTGACGCAGACAAACCCAAGATCCTGCTGTATTCACTCAGCCTCAGATTTAAGGTAAGGACAACTACAGACCAGACACAGACCAGACACAGACCAGACACAGACCAGACACAGATTGCTGTTGTGACATTAAATCATATTCAGACAATAAAAGTCAAATGTGATTGGATGGTTTTCCTAACAGCTGTCTTTGTGTTGACAGGGGATCCAGATGACAGCGACCACGCCCTCCATGAGAGCTGTCCGCTTTGAGACCGGTCTGATCGAGTTGGAGCTGTCCAACAGAATCCAGTGCAAGGCTCAGGGGGGGGGCAGCAGCAGTTACCTCAAACTGTTTGGCAAATGTCAAGTGGACCTGAACCTGGCCCTGGGACAGATAGTCAAACACCAGGTACCGACGGGACCAGGGACACCTGTATGTGTTTGATCCCACTTCACAGTTCAACGTGAATGACTGACCTGTTCTTCACCAAGGTTTACGAAGAGGCCGGCTCAGACTTTCACCAGGTGGCGTACTTCCGGACTCGGATTGGTCTTCGTAACGCTCTGCAGGAGGAGATCAGCGGCTCCTCTGACAAAGAAGCCGTCCTCATCACACTCAACAGGCCCATCGTCTTCGCCCAACCGGTGGCCTTTGACCGAGGTTGACATTTTTAAACAGACTGTGTGTGTGTGTGTGTGTGTGTGTGTGTGTGTGGTCTGACTGATCTGAGTTCATCTAAATAGACTGTTTCTCTTTCTTCACCTTGAACTGTTACTGTAGCTCTGCCCACCTCCACTGTAGTACTAGTTTGTAGTACTGTACTTGTTTGTTGACACTAGTACTGTTAGTTGGAGGGAGTTTTCACAGAAGCAGTGGCAGCAGCTCAGAACATTTCACATCTTTTTTTAGTTTCTTTTGGACCTTGAATTGACATGTAAATGTTTGTGCCCCCCCACTGCAGCTGTGCTCTTCTGGCTGAATTACAAAGCAGCTTATGACAACTGGAACGAACAGCGCTTGGCCTTGAACAAAGACATCCACGTGGCCACCAAGGAGGTGGTGGACAAACTGCCAGGCATCCAGCAGACCTCCTCCCAGGCCTTCAGCACTCTGTTCCTGCAGCTGACGGTCGACGACCTGGGCATCTGTCTGCCCATCACCAGCACGTCGCAGGTACACTGCTGCAGTGTGGCTCAACTGCTGGAGTCAGTTCATCCTGATTGGCTGAGGTTCAGCATAGTCTTGGCCTGGATTTCTGAAGTGAAAACCACATCTTATGGTATTTTAAACTCTGAGGAGAAGTAGTACTATAAAACATACCTGCCAGTGTAGTACACCTGTCAGGCTTCACTCAGGTAATATTGATCTTTTTGTTCTGATAAACTAATACAACGGAACACAAGATCGTTCTAGGGTTCTAAGATGTGTAGATCAGAGTCGGGAGGATGACAACGGAACACAAGATCGTTCTAGGGTTCTAAGATGTGTAGATCAGAGTCGGGAGGATGACAACGGAACACAAGATCGTTCTAGGGTTCTAAGATGTTTAAATCAGAGTAGGGAGGATGACAACGGAACACAAGATCGTTCTAGGGTTCTAACATGTTTAGATCAGAGTAGAGAGGATGACAACGGAACACAAGATCGTTCTAGGGTTCTAAGATGTGTAGATCAGAGTCGGGAGGATGACAACGGAACACAAGATCGTTCTAGGGTTCTAACATGTTTAGATCAGAGTAGGGAGGATGAGAACGAAACACAAGATCGTTCTAGGGTTCTAACATGTTTAGATCAGAGTAGAGAGGATGACAACGGAACACAAGATCGTTCTAGGGTTCTAACATGTTTAGATCAGAGTAGAGAGGATGACAACGGAACACAAGATCGTTCTAGGGTTCTAACATGTTTAGATCAGAGTAGAGAGGATGACAACGGAACACAAGATCGTTCTAGGGTTCTAACATGTTTAGATCAGAGTAGGGAAGATGACAACGAAACACAAGATCGTTCTAGGGTTCTAAGATGTTTAGATCAGAGTAGGGAGGATGACAACGGAACACAAGATCGTTCTAGGGTTCTAAGATGTTTAAATCAGAGTAGGGAGGATGACAACGGAACACAAGATCGTTCTAGGGTTCTAAGATGTGTAGATCAGAGTCGGGAGGATGACAACGGAACACAAGATCGTTCTAGGGTTCTAACATGTTTAGATCAGAGTAGAGAGGATGACAACGGAACACAAGATCGTTCTAGGGTTCTAACATGTTTAGATCAGAGTAGAGAGGATGACAACGGAACACAAGATCGTTCTAGGGTTCTAAGATGTTTAGATCAGAGTAGGGAGGATGACAACGGAACACAAGATCGTTCTAGGGTTCTAACATGTTTAGATCAGAGTAGGGAAGATGACAACGGAACACAAGATCGTTCTAGGGTTCTAACATGTTTAGATCAGAGTAGAGAGGATGACAACGGAACACAAGATCGTTCTAGGGTTCTAACATGTTTAGATCAGAGTAGAGAGGATGACAACGGAACACAAGATCGTTCTAGGGTTCTAAGATGTGTAGATCAGAGTCGGGAGGATGACAACGGAACACAAGATCGTTCTAGGGTTCTAACATGTTTAGATCAGAGTAGAGAGGATGACAACGGAACACAAGATCGTTCTAGGGTTCTAACATGTTTAGATCAGAGTAGGGAAGATGACAACGAAACACAAGATCGTTCTAGGGTTCTAACATGTTTAGATCAGAGTAGAGAGGATGACAACGGAACACAAGATCGTTCTAGGGTTCTAAGATGTTTGGATCAGAGTAGGGAGGATGACAACGGAACACAAGATCGTTCTAGGGTTCTAAGATGTGTAGATCAGAGTCGGGAGGATGACAACGGAACACAAGATCGTTCTAGGGTTCTAAGATGTGTAGATCAGAGTCGGGAGGATGACAACGGAACACAAGATCGTTCTAGGGTTCTAAGATGTGTAGATCAGAGTCGGGAGGATGACAACGGAACACAAGATCGTTCTAGGGTTCTAAGATGTGTAGATCAGAGTCGGGAGGATGACAACGGAACACAAGATCGTTCTAGGGTTCTAACATGTTTAGATCAGAGTAGGGAGGATGACAACGGAACACAAGATCGTTCTAGGGTTCTAAGATGTTTAGATCAGAGTAGGGAGGATGACAACGGAACACAAGATCGTTCTAGGGTTCTAACATGTTTAGATCAGAGTAGGGAGGATGACAACGGAACACAAGATCGTTCTAGGGTTCTAACATGTTTAGATCAGAGTAGGGAGGATGACAACGGAACACACACTGCAGATACACTCCACTTTGTTCTTGATGGTACAATGGCCTTGAGGTTCATGTGAATACTGTGAACAGTCAGGACATGAGTGCAGATAACTGCAGTACTGACCTTAGTATTGACCTAGTACTGACCTCGGTACTTGATCCACCATCTTTACATCCTTCACCAACTCTTTGTAGTTTGAACCTTTTCGATCAGAGACGAGGTCTTTGTAAAAGAGAAAATCCTTTGATCTCTGTCTTTTTGTTCCTTCTGTGAGGAACCTTCTCCTGTGAGGAACCTTCTCCTGTGAGGAACCTTCTCCTGTGAGGAACTCTGGATGTTGATTGTTGATGATGAGTGTTGATGTACTGGCTGTCATGTCACACTTATTTCCATAGAAAGGACAAGTAGCAGCTACGGAGGGCATCAACCCTGAGGCTGGGGCCACCACATCCATAGACCACCATAAAAATGCCAAAAAAGTAACCCCCCCCCCTCTTTTATCTTTGGTTTGTTGTTGACAATGACTCACTGTGATCACTCATGCACTGCACTACACTTCACAAGTCGTGGCCTGTGTTCTTCTGGCTAAAAGACTTGGTTCCTAAGGTTTTTGAGGCATCAGTGCTAAAATGGTGTTGGTTCTGCAGTGTGGTGTGAGTGTGGCACAAATAGAACCCTGTTGTTCTCTGCCCACGAGACTGACGATTGGATGAAGAACAACAACACAGCCGTCCACAGAACAGTGTGAAAGTGAGTGGAGTGGTTTTGGTGTGACAACTGTGGTCTGCTTTAACAAGAACACTGGAGAGTCCACAGGTACAGTACCTGGTACAGTACCTGGTAAAGTACCTGGTACAGTACCTGGTAAAGTACCTGCTTGTTCATAATCAGACTGCAGTTCCTCCTAATCTCCCAGTAAAAACACAGACATTCCTGGTACATCAAAGGGAGTTCTGCTGGTTCTAACAAACTGAGGGTTTGGTAACAGTTCGGCTTCGTGGACTGGAACTGAGACACAGTTTTTTTTACCTTTCATAACGTTGTTATTAAAAAGGTAAAGAGGTTTTTACACAGACATAAAGCCAGGGCATTTCTCTGGGTCACTTCCCGTCACCCCTGGTCCCCCAGGCTGTGGGACTTCACCCCGTGTCACACACCAGCGGCCAACAGTTAGCTGCTGTGCGCTGATGCAGTGATCAATGACTTTGTTAATCACCAGCGGCAGCATCATGAACTGTTATCAACCTCTCGAACGTCCTGATTGGTCCAAATTGATGGTTGTGGGTTCTGTTCCCAGGTGTTGCTCTGTGTCTAACTGTTCTCCCTGCTCCTCCACCAGGCCAATCACACCATAGATTTCGACACTGGTTCGGCACTGGTCCTGACCATCGAGAGCACACTCATCACTGCCTGTTCATCTGAGTCTCTCGTGAGCAAAGGTCATTTTAAGAACTTCTGTATTCGCTTCGCTGAGGGCTTCGAAACATCCTGGGACGACTGGAAGCCGGAGGTCCGAGGAGATCTGGTCATGAACGCATGTGAGTCAAGCCTCTGTGTTGGCGTCTGTACTGTAGTATATACTCGAGTATACTACAGTACATGTATATAGTGTATACAAACACAATGTAGTGCACAAGTATAGAAATAAGGCATCCTTCCTTTGATAGCCTTTGATGTGGAGCAGTTGTCCCCTGATGCAGCCACTCTGTGTTTGTTCTCTGCACACAGGTGTGGTACCTGATGGTACATACGAAGTTTGCTCCAGAACAACAGGTCAACCTTCTGCAGGCAAGTTGACCCAGGACTCATCAAAGTCAAAGAAGCAGTTTGAAAGAGTTCCTTTGTTTTCATCGCGACTTTCACATCTCCTCATCAAAGCAGAGAGCAGCAGTGCCGGCACCTGGACTCTGAATGTGCTCTGGAAGATGTGCGGCATTGACGTTCACATGGATCCTAACATCGGCAAGAGGCTGAATGCGCTCGGGAACACGTTGACGTCACTGACCGGCGAGGAGGACACGGACGACATCGCTGACCTCAACTCTGTCAACATGGCCGACCTGTCGGATGAGGATGAGGTTGACACCATGTCACCGACCATCCACATGGTAAGTTAACGTGACCTCTGGTAGAAGAGC